CCCCACGGTTCCCCATGGGATGGAGGAAATTCCCCACAAAATTCCACGGGGAAAAAAATGCCTCCATCCCCACCCCACGGGGAAGAATATTCTTGGAATCTCCATCCCCATGATGGGGATCTCTGTGAACCTCCACGGGTCGTGGAGGAAATTGCCATCCCTACCCTAGTCCCCTCAAGTCCATCTTATTCTTGATCTGCATGGATATCTACGACCTCAGCAGATTGAAAAGGAGTCCATGCAACTAGTGCTTTAGTAGTAATTTAGAGGGGTGGTATTGAGTTCGGCTATCCAAATTTCGGTCTGGAGATCATCATCGAACCTCGATTCTGCACTGTCTTCATCCACTTTCTACTCTGACCCTCATCGCTCCAATTTGGGTTTTGGTTCTTGGGAAGAACTGGTTTCTGTGATAAGGCATATTCCTCAGCAGTTATGAATTTCAACGATCTGTCATTGACTTCATTAAAAGCAGCAGCAGGATGCTTGATTAAGCTATCTCTGAATCTCTCGTGTTGTAGACCTTGAATTACAGTCTCAATTCCCACGGCTTAGTTGAATGAGCTAACTCCGAGGACTGCATCGTTGAACCAACTCATGTAATTCTTCAAAGATTCTCCTTCCCTCTATTTGACTCGCAGAGTTCAGAAGTGGTTTTCCTAACCAACCTTCTATTGGAAAACTTTGTGGCAAAAGCAGATGTCATTATGAATAAGAGTGATAAATCTTGGAGGCAAACGATAATACCAAGTTCGAGCATTGTCATGGAGAGTGGAGGGAAAGATTTTGCACATCAATGCATCAAAAGCATTCTGAGCTTGCATACAAGAGTAGAAGGCATGGAGGTGATCATCTGGATCCTTCGTCCCATCATATGTCTCAAGCTGAGGTATCTTGAAGCCAACAAGGTAAGGTTCCAATGTGATGTTTGTGTTCAGATGATTAGGTATGGAATCTGTGTTATGATGTGGAGGTGAGGCACCTCGCTGCTCGACTACTAGTTTTTTTAAGCTGTCTAAACGTCGTGTGACATCATCAGGTAAAGCGTGCAGAAGTGGGGCTGCATGAGACTAAACTTGAGACTCATTGAGAGCAGAAGCATGCTGAACTGGTTAAGGGTCTTGCTGTTGAATAGGGGGTTGTTAAGTAGGGTTGAGTAGATTGATGAGGGGATCGCTCAGATTATTCCAAGCTAGAAGCTAAGCCAAAACTAACTGAAAGACACCAAACTGTTGTTGCATGGCAGCAAGCTGAGCTATAACTACATCTTGATTAGCAATAAAAGCTGAGTTATGAGCTGAGTTGTGAGGTTGGTTTTCATCTCCTCCTTCTACATGGTCAACAAGAGGGAATAGATTCAGGATCGGAGGTGGGAGGTGAGGTGGAAGGTTGTTAGGGATGTTGACTTTGACCTTGTCCAAGAGGTTGAGCCTGATTTCCAACTCAGACAGATCGAGTGTTAACCATGATGAGAGAGTAACAAGAGAGCCGTTAGTTTGGATTCCCACAGATGGCGCCAATGTAATTGCACCAAACTAAAAGTCCTTCTTTAGTCCGTGTCTTCACTTCGGATGAACTTGCAAAGCCTCGAGGTGGGTCCTCGAGGTAGACACTCCGATACTTAAGGCAGCAATAATCGGATCTACCTTTTTAAAATAATTAAAGAGGAGTTTTAGGTCGATTTCAATTACCTTTTTAAGGTGGCCCTTAAGGGGTACTTATAGGCCTTAGTAAGGTATCCATGTGGCTTGCTTAACAAGATAATAGGAGTGTGACGTGTCCTTTCAGGCGATAATTTCGAGACCGGGAAATTGTATGTGGTAAATCCAATATGGGTGTTTCCATTGTATTTATCATGCAGTCATTTGACCGGGAAGTGTTGAATTTAACTTCACCTCGGTTCTTAAGGACTTGCAGCAATACGTCTGAGGTTAGGGATCTCGAGCATATCCTTACAAGAATGAAGAATGGAAATAGGAGGAATCGACGGTTGAGTAAATTGGTTTGGATTGGATGAGCTTCTGATGATAGGTGTTCCTGAAGATCTCGTGTTCCACCCTTTTCTCATCAGCCACTGAAATAGATGCCTTACTGTTTTGGATTTCTGAGACTGTAAGTTTTTACGTTTTTGGATTTCTAAGGTCGTAGTTTCTAAGAAACCAATTTAATAATTTGAAAATGATTAATTACAATGCATTAAATCTTATAAGTTTTTAATTTTCATATATTATTATATAAATTTTTTAATTTTAGAGTCTACTCTAATTTTGCTTATATTTACTCAATAAATTACATATTAAAATTATAAATTTATAATTTTATATAATATTAAATTGCTATAATTATAGTAGCACCAGATAATAAATAACTACTTTCGGGTAAATTTACAAAAATAAAAACAAAAAACTAGTTTTAAGTATAGCATTTGAGGATTTAATAACTTGAATTAATGATACAATTGCAATTGATTTGAATAAGAATGTGATTATTTCATTCTTTGCTTTATAGATCCATTCCTAACTTCCTTTTTTTTTTCCTTTTACTTATGGAATCACAAGATATTATTAAAATAAAAGGAAAAAAGGAAAAGATACATAATAATTCATTGACAAAACCACCAAAAAGTCATATTGTTGCTATGGGTACCTATAGCATTAGTAATAAATGATTCTGCACAATACTTACATGATGACAATTGATCAAATAAAACCTTTTATCACTAGATAATAACAATAATTGCTATAGGGCATAAAAAACCAACATTATTGATTTGGTAAGTATAGGTCGGTCATATACGTATTATGTCCTAGTTCAAATACCAGTTGTACTACCTAAAAAATAACTTTAATTTTTGGTAAAAACTAGCTAAAACCAATTGTAAGGGCAGGTCTGAGGTGCCCAACCTCGGCCGTACGACAGTAATTCCTTTACAACCGGAATGAAGAGTAAATCCAAAACTTCCCGCTCGAACAGCTGCACAGCAGTTATGATGGACATCCTCGCATCTAAATATCTCTCAATTTCCCGATCCCAAAATAACCGTATGGAGATACACATCAGATCCCGAATATCTTGCTTAGCTCAATTTCCCAATCCCAAAATAACTGTCTGGAGATACACATCAGATCATGAGTATCTTGCTTGGCATGCCACGTGGTTTCCTCATTAGAACCTATAAATACCCCTCAAGGGCCACGTCAAAAGGGTAATTGAAACCAACCCTAAGCTCCTATTATCTCCGCTCTAAAGGTAACCCCAATTATTGCTAACTTAAGCATCGGAGTGTCTACCCCGAGTTCCACCTCGGGGCTTTGCAGGTTAATCCAGAGTGTAGACGCGGACTGAAGAAGGGCTTCTGGTTTGGTGCAGTTACATTTGGCGCCGTCTGTGGGAAACCGAACTGAAAGCTCTCTTGTTGCTCTTATCATGTTTAGAACTAGGTCAGTCCGAGCTGGAAATTCATCTCAGCCTCTCAGACGGGGTCAGGTCCCCAGCAACCTCCCACCTCATCCCCCGCCCCCAATCCCGCATACATTCCCTTATGTTCACCATGCAGAAGGAGGAGATGAAAATCAGCCACACAATTCGGCTCACAACTCAGCCTCTACTGCTAACCGAGACGTAGTTGCAACTTAGCTCGCTGCCATGCAACAGTAGTTTGGTGTCTTTCAGCTAGTGCTAGCTCAACTATTTGCCTAGAACAATCCTAGTGATCCACTCATCAACCTACTTAATCCTGCTCCACAACCCCCAACTCCACAACAAAATCCTGAGCCAGTTCAGCATGCTCCTACTATTAGTGAATCTCAGGGCCAATCTCACATCGCACCAGTTCAGCAACCCCTTCATGATGATGTCACTCGACGTTTAGACAGCTTAGAAAAGCCAGTGGTTGAATAGTGAGGTGCCCCACCTCCACACCATGTTGTTGACTCCACACCATGTTGTTGACTCCATACCTCATCCTTTGAACACCAACATTACATTGGAACCCTACCCCGCTGGCTTCAGGATACCACTACTTGAAACTTATGATGGGACGAAGGACCCCGATGATCATCTCCATGCTTTCTACTCTTGCATGCAAGCCCAGAACGCCTCTGATGCGTTGATGTGCAAAATCTTTCCCTCTACTCTCCGAGGTAATGCTCGAACCTAGTACTACAGTTTACCACCGAGGTCAATCAGCTATTATACAGAAATGGCATCTGCTTTTGCCACGAAGTTTTCCAATAGAAGGTTGATCAAGAAAACTACTTTCGAGCTAATGCGAGTTAGGCAAAGGGACGAAGAGTCTTTGAAGAATTTTATGAGCAGATTCAATGATGCAGTACTGGAGGTTAACTCCTTCGACCAGGCTGTGGGAATTACAGTTGTGATCTCAAGTCTCAGCCATGAGAGATTCAGGGATAGCCTGCTTAAACATCCTGCCACCACCTTCAGCGAGGTAAATGATAGATCACTGAAATTCATCACTGCTGAGGAATATGCGCTGTCGCAGAACCCAGTCCCTATTAAGAACCAACACCCAGACTGGAGAGATGAGAATCCAAACAGGAAGCGGATGAAGACAACACAGAACCGAGGTCCGATGCCAACTTCCACCCTGAGATTCGGAAGGCCGAGCTCAACACCTCCATAACAACCTGCCGGTAAACCTCCCGTTACTTGGACTCCTTTTAACTTGCCGAGGTCACAAATCTTTATGCAGATTAAGAACAAGATGGATCTAAGGCATCCTGGTCTAATGAAAACTGCTCCTGTTAGCCGCGATCATACTAGATATTGTGATTTCCATCAAGATCACGGTCATACAACAGAGCAACGCAACAGTTTGAGGTCCGAACTGGAAAGTCTTTCCTAGAAGGGATTGTTAAATGAGTACATTCAGAGAGCTGAACAGCCACGGTTTGTCAGAGAACAAGGGCCACCGCCTCAAGGAGTCCGTAACCCGCCAAACCGACAAGGTGTGGGATACTAGCAAACCCCACCTCTGCTCCCACCACTAGCTAGAATCATACATATGATCACGGGAGGCTTGGAAGCCGGAGAACTAAGCTCTAAGCAGCGAAAGTTGTATGTCAGAGAGGTTAAGCATTAAAACCGAGCTCAGAAGCGAAAGTTTGACGATGCTGAGTGGAAGAATCAACCGATTACCTTCACATCTGCTGATCTCAATACAGTCGTCACACCCCACAATGACCCCCTAGTCACTTCTGTCACGATTAACAATTGTGAGGTGCAGCGCGTCCTTGTTGACATAGGGAGTGCACCAGACATCATGTACTT